ATGTTGGCCCTCTCAGGGAAAACGTTTGGGCAACCCTTGTGTACAGTATCCACCATCACCCTTCATAATGTTGCAACCCAAATTGAGGAAAAATATTAAATGAAAAGATGGTGCAGCTTGAATCTGTTGGTTAAATTTTGATTTAAAATATTATGGTTCATTTATTTACAAGAGATATTAAGCCTGTTGATCTGTGTTTGTTTTTGCATCATTAATGTTCAAGAGTGAAGATATATTTGCTTATTTTTAAACTTCATAATTGTTMMCTTAAATTATAGAGTTCAGTTACTTTTATGACTGCTATTTGACAGGTGGTCCTAAAACAGGAGTGTTAAAATTYCAGTGTTAAMGTTTAAAGTGTTAAACTTTTGGGTGTTGATTTAACACCCCCTAGTGTTATTTTAACCCAGTGTTGGTGTTAMTTCACAGTGTTGATTTCCTCAGYGTTGTATCAACACTGGACAGTGTTAAATAAGCTCCGCCCACTGTTAAGTCTTATATAACATTTAACAGTGTTGTTATATGACACCATGCAGTGTTGAAAGCAGTATTCTGAAAAGCCCCGCCCTCTTCCACCTCATGTCAGACAGACCAGTATTTACCCAGCATTCCCTGCTGAGAAATCTTGCAGAACTGATGTTTTTGCATGTTTACAACCATTAAAGACGTTGATGAGAGTAAAATTAGTTTTTCTGGTTAGTTTTCTTGCTCAGTTTGATCAAGTTGTTCAAGTTTATGTTAATGGCCAAAAATCGACACCATGAGTGAGAGCTACTTCTTGGTTTACGAAGGGTGACTCCATTACACTTTTTTACTAACTACAGACAGAGTACTAACTACTGAGCAGTGTTAATGCAACACYACAAAGAGTTTGATATTAACTCTGAGTGTTACTTTTAACACTTTATTTTAACACTGTTGAGATGTTAATGTGACACCAAGAACTGTTGAATATTAAACACTGGTTGGTGTTAAATTAACACTGGCATTTTTGCTGTGTAGATAAAGGAACTGGAGGTAATGCCTGGGGACAACATGAGTTTCCTGGTCGTAAAACAGGAGGACACTCAGCTTCAAACCCTTTAAAAGCCTAAAAGCTGTGCAGAAAGTGAGCTCATGCTGCTGACATTGTATGTATTTTACCTTGTCTGTATTTGGACTCCTTACAAGTAAAAGAGAGCTGAACAAGATCTGCTGCTTGTTCGTCATTCCTTGTGTCAAGTATCTTAATAATTAATTTATACAACAGAATACCACATAAAATAGACTATCACAGTATGCAAACACAAACAAAAGAGCAAGCTTATTTAAAAAATCCCTTTTTAGGGACAATCAGCTGTGTTTTAATTATATATAAAATGCTTAATTTCTGTAATGCCTCCTATTATTTTCTTAACAAATTCAACAGTGCTTTTAAACACAACATGAAATAAAGTCCATCTGAAGAAGTTTTATAAAGATTCAAAATATTTAGCTTTAGCTGGGTATCCACCCATAAACAATATTATATTAAAATTATTAAAGCACCTTTTTAAACATTAAACAATAGTCTGACATAACAATCAGAACATAATATTTTTTGACCAGGTAAATGCCTGTGACCCACTGAAAACAGGTCGAGTTGAGAATCACTGACTTGGAGCTTTATTACTAGATATTTCAGTGAGACATCAGAAATACAGGTCAGTTCCTCAGTTGAACAAATAACATTACATTGTTTTCTGAAAATCATTTCAGACGTAACTCAAGAAATCTAATTAAAACGGATCAAATCTGCAAGCAGCTGCACACCTGGTAATAGTAATAAGTGGGTCATTATTATTGACACAGGCTATGTTTGGTCACTGGACAAACAAAAGTGGCCTTAAGTAGGACAGGGAAAATAGTCACCACTGATTCTTATCAAAAACAGCTGCTTATTTGCATTTATGAAACACGTTACACTACACACAAAGTGCATCTGGTTGTCCYCTGGTGTGTGATTACCTGGGGGTTATCATAGAAGAGAACATCTGGAACTTTCATTTTCTGGTTGGGGTTGTAGACTGGAGCTGAGACGTTGCCAATTGTCAACACACCATCATGTACCGCACCTGGAGACACAAGGATCAGGAATCTTACTGTATTTTGGTTTTAATAGAAGAAAAAGCTTGTCTACAATGGAGTCTACAATGCGTAAAAACAAATCTGAGAACGTAACCTGATGTTATTCATCCACACATCTGTCCTGGTYAAAGCTCCACAGTTTCTATCAGACAGATTTCTCTGTGCAAAACATCTGTTTTATCTCCCTTCATGGGTTTCTGACCATTTGACTATCTTTACAAACATCTGCTTCTGGATAGCCTAAAACAGTTGGCTTCTGGAAGAGAGTTGTTTGTTGTTGTTGTTTTTTAGGAAGTGAGTGGTTGAAGCAGAATGCAGCATCTGAGCACTTTCAGCGTGAACAAACATTCCCACAAACTTCTGACCAATCACACAATAAGTTCTTATGTGGAAGGGGTTMAACGTTCTGCCGGCGAATTGCGACAAAAGATTTTTGTCATGAAACAACAATCAAAGCTGATTTCGGCAGTGCAGAGGGAGTGTGAAGTAGGCTTAAGGCAGATTCCAGTTACCTTGCAGAGAAAACTCAATTGACCACCTGTATCTTGTTCTCTAGTTCACAACCCAAAGATGAGAGTTAGTAAGTAGGAATGTAGTCTGATCGACAGGCGAGGATTGGGACAATAATTCATGCCAGGAATCTGATACCATCCCAGGCCAGTATCACATTGCAAACCACAAAGACTCTGTTAAATTAAGTGCACTTTAAATGTACTGACTGAGGAGACTGACAGTGAGTGAACTTTATTGAAGAGTGAACTTTATTGAAGAGTGAACTTTACCTTTTGTTTATGATAACTTTTGGTTTCGTTTGTCAAAAATAGGCACTTTGTTTCACTTTTGCAGCTTAATAATTTTTTTATTTTCCTGTGATTTATCTGCAGTATGATAAAAGGTAGAGCATAAATATAGGCTCCAAGTGTTTTGTTTTTGTTTGCTAATTGAATTTGTTATTTTGCATGAATAATATTTTGTTTGTGAATATGGGTAATAAAGCCTCGAATTTACTGCAAACCATCTTGTCTTGAGTTCCTATGATGTCATAGCGACTAGTTGCTGTCGACTCGACTATTATCCTGTTGACTTCGACTTGCATGTTCTCTCCGTGCATGCGTGGGTTCTCCCCGGGTACTCCGGCTTCCTCCCACAGACCAAAAACATGACTGTTAGGTTAATTGATAACTCTAAATTGTCCCTAGGTGTGAGTG